TGTGTTCATCCAGCTCTACACCTTGTTATCTCAGATTCTCCAGCATCTGCAGTTCCTACTATCTCTTATTACTAAGACTGTTTAGTAGCCTATAAACCTCTCTCGCCAATGTTTGCTTTCCCTTGGTTTTATTTTTAACTCTGGCCAAACAGATCCTAGACTCTACCCTTCCAGTTGGAGATCGTTTTTTATGAATGTACCTTTCTGACCCTTATTGGTACTACCCCACCTCCTTTTCCTTTTTGCCTATTCTTCCAAAATGTTGAATGTCCTTAAATATTTAGTTCCCAGTTTTGGCCATCTTGTGGTCACCTCTCCATAATGATAATTAAATCGTTTTGTTTTAATTCGCCATCAATTCAGCTATATTATTGTGAATGCTGCATGCATTCAGATACAGTGCTTTTAATTCTGCCTTTTTCATACTATTCTCTAATTTTACGCTGGTTGATTCCTGCACTTGTTTCTGCTGCTTTCTATTTTCATTTACAGCTTTTCTTCTTCCAATAATGAACATGGTTTTAATTCTATCTGAATTTCCTCTCGGATTCCTCTCCACTTGATGAGCTAGTTTAAGCCCTCCCTAGAAGCACTAAGTCTCCCTGTGAGGATTCTAATCCTGGTCTTACTAACGTGCAATCTGACCTCCTTATACAGGGTGCACCTGACGCTGAACAGGGCCAACTACCCCAAAAATCTAAAGCCCTCCTTTCTGCACCATTTTTCCAGCCATGTGTTAATTTGCCAGTTCTCATAGTTCTAAGCTTTAGCACATGTTCCGAGGGTTAGAAAACCAAAGCAATCAGTCTCACTTTCACTGGATTCGCTACACAGATAAATTAAAACATTCAATGATCTTGAAAACTGTCCAGTTGTTCCTGGCTAGACTTTAGGAACAACAAATCTTCGACGCCAAGTTTATAACTTAAACAAAAATGAACAATTTACTAATAATGTAACTTCAGCAGAACACAGTTAAGCAACAAGGTAATCTAATTAATATCTATGATCTAAAGCTCAATCTTCTTTGATCATAACCTCCTCTCTCTCAGATAGACAGACACAGTTAATGGATAAACTGAAAAGGAAAATAAAAGTATTATAATTTGTTGGTTTAGTAAGCAGATTGCTATGAGATCATCACGAAATCCTTGGACAATGAGTTTTTCCACAGGCAAACAGAACAGTATATCTTTTCTGAACGTTGAAGTCACTGCTTAACGTAAACAGTTTCAGCAGACTTCTAGAAATATTTTTATAGACTGGGATTCTTAGAACATTTAACAATTTGATAACTGATGAGAAACTAGAGACAGAGCAAAACCAAGCAGCGCCATCTCCAAAAATCTCCAAAAATCACACCGCCTCCTGTCAAAACCCAGTCAGAACTGCTTGCTCCTTGATTCCACATTGACAAATTCCACATTAAACCAGTTGCCAGCCCCGAGCACAAAAACAGCTTGGTGCCAATTCATCTGCAGTGTCCTTAGATCAGTAATAAGTTTCATTATCTTTGCCGGCCAGTTCCTAACAGAAAACATCTGTCTTTGTTCTTTTCTGTTTTAAAACAAGCAGTTGTTCAAAGTTCAATTTCAATTCTTACCTTCAACTCACAGTTCCAAACCAAGAACAAATAGAAAAATAAAAGAAAAACAGTGATGATCTCAAAACATGGCATTGGGAGGAATTCTGAGATTACTGCCTTAGCGATCTCTTGCCTAACTTGTTAGATTCTTCTTTCAGAGCTTCATCCCTCTTTTTCTACCTTTCAGAGGTGTCAGTGTGAGTCACAACCTCTGGCTCTTCATTCTCCCTCAAAAGCAAATCCTCTAACTACTCTGACATCTTTGACTCTAGTACTAGGAAAGCAATATTCTATCCTGGAGTCATGTTCGCGCCACAGACGTATCCAGCTGTTTCACTAACTATTGAATCATCTACCATTATTGCTCTTACAGTCTTCTTCCACCCACCTGTGCACCTGAACCATGTGTGGTGCCACAAGCTTGGCACTTGTGACCATATTGAGATGAACCATGGCAGTCACATGTATCCAAAATGGAAAAAAAAAGTTGTTGAGTGAGCTAGCCTCTGGGTACTTCTGCACTACCTGCCTGGACTACCTGTCTAATGGTCACCCATTACTTTCTGCTAGAATACTGTGGTGTGACCACTTTTTGACAACTGTGTGCAAAGCATATTTAACAGGTTTGCTTGTGCACTCCAGTGATTCCAGCCTCCAAGACCTTGAATTCCAGTTTTGTGCACTCCCAAAATGTGTTTGTCTAGACCACATGGAGCGTCCATGACTCTTGTGTGGCACAAGATGGGCATTATATGCAGTTGAGCTGCCCTACTTTAGACTGAAGGCTAGAAGCTAGAAAGCAAAAGTAGTCGCCAAAACAGCTCCAATGGGTCTAGTTTATTGAAAACAAATGTGCAAACTGGATACTCACTGACCAATCAGCTTAATTCTTTGCTGTGATCATATGAATATGTAGGAGCAGAAGTAGACCATTTGGCCCTTTGAGCCTGCTTTGCCATTTAGTACCATTGTCGCTGATCTGTTTGTATTTTGCATTCCACACGCTCATTTATCCTCTAATCTTTGATTTCCTTGCCTAACAAGAATATGTCCACCTCTGTCATAAGATTATTTAATGACCTGCTTCTGTCACCTTCTGAGGCAGAGAGTTTATAAGTCACTAATTTTATAGTAGTGCCCTCTCGTCAGGACTCCATCCACAAGTGGAAACATCAAGGCTATTCAGGAATTTAGTCAAGCCATCTATCACTCTTCTAATCTCCAGTGCAAATAAGCCCAGCCTGCTCAACCTATCCTCATGAAACAATTCACTCATTTAATGTAAGCTTCCTTTAAACTGCCTCCAATGCATTTACATCCTTCCTTATGCAAGCAGACCAAAACTATGCACAGTGTTTGAGATGTGGTTTCAACTATGCTCTGTAAAACTGAAGCATAACTTCTTTACTTTTCTGGAAAGATTCCTATTGCCCTTCTAGATTACATACTGTACCTGCATATTAACTTACTGTGATTCATGCACTGGAATGCCCAAATCACTCACTCCTTGGAATTCCAGTCATTCTGCATTTAAAAAAAAATACTTCGTTATTCTTCCTACCAAAGTGTACAGCTTCATATTTCCCACATCATGTTCCTTGTGCCAGATTTTCTGGCACTCACTCTACCTATCTTGTTTGTAATTTTGTCGTGTCTTCTCCACAGTATACTTTACTACCTATTTTGCAGTCGTCTGCAAATTTAGTTACCATATGTTCACTCTCCTCATCTAACTCATTAATGTAAATTGTAAAAAGTTGAGGCCCCAGCACAGAACTCTGGGGTCTCCACTCATCACATCTTGATCATCAGATAAAACCCCATTTATGCATACTATCTGGTTTCTGTCAGCTGGGTAATCATTGATTCACACTAATATGTTGCCACTTTATACCATGAGCCTTTATTTTCTGCAATAACCTTTGATTTGGGACCTTATCAAATGCATTCTGGAGATCCAAGTACTATATGTTTACTGTCACTCACTGTTTCTGTCTGACACACACAGACGCAGACAGACATGCACACGCATGTAGTTATTAATTTTGTTATTTAACCTTGTCTGTTAATGTTTAAGTTTCAAATGCTGTCAACAGTTATGTTAAGGTTGGTAAACATTTTGTTTGTGACTATATCTGACTTTTTGCTTAATTTTTGAGAAAAGGTTAATTCATTTACTCTGCTGATATGATCCTGCTGGAAGATTTGATCATGTAAATGCCAGCCCTGTCTGGTTGACATAAGAAAGATTTGTGAACCAAGTAGTAATTAATGTTTCGGCAGAGATGAATGACAATCCTAAAATAGTTTCTTGACAAGAATTTAAGGTGAAGGGGTAACTGTTATTGATTGAAAAGTTTAGCAATCCCTACTTAGTTACGTGAGCTTATAGCTGCTTGGTAATTTAACTGAATAGTTGCAGTGAGCTGTTAAACTAGTTTCACATGCATTTGCACAAGTCCTAATTATAGTTAACCTTAGAAGAATCATGTCTACAGCCTTTAACTTATAATGTTTTTTAGGAACACTTAGAAATACTGAAGCTCTTGCTTGAAAAAGGTGCTGATAAAGAAGCCAGGGATGATTATGGAATTACACCGTTGTTTCTTGCTGCTCAGTATGGAAAACAGGAAAGTCTAAGTGTTCTCCTGCAACATGGTAATTGTTCAATCTTAATACTTTCATCTAATACAATATGCTGGGAATTTTGGAGAGGTTAATTTATAATCTTAAAATATTGTAAATGCTTTGTGTGTGTTGTTTTTTTTTAATGATTGTTGCTTTTCAGTCTTCCAAAACACATCATTCCATTGCTAGTTAAACTGACTCCAGTCGTTTGAAATTCAGTAGCATAGTGAGTTTGTTTGCTGTTTCATATTGCAGAACAATGTTTGCATGTAGGTAGTGTTTCTGAAGTGTAAATATTCTCTGCTAGTCTAAGAATCTTATATGAATCCAGTGACTGTTCCAATATACTTGTGGAGTATTATAACTATTTATTTGCTGACGTAACAGTGACTGGTTTCCAATAATCATTCATTACTTGATTGAGAAATTTCTTCTTAAAAAGCTACTACGTTGTCTAAATGCAAGCAATTTTATTTTATAAAATTTGTTTGAATAAAGTAACTAATAAATCCACTCAATTTGTAATCGGTGCATGAATATGCTATTTTAGTCAGAGAGAGAGTGTAAGAGCAATGGAAGAAGACACTCCAGTGTTTTTGTCTGAGATTTTACTTAAAGTATGGTATTGAGTGGAGAAGAGAATGTGTTCTGCTTCAAAGGGCCAAATTTTATCTGGGTTTGCTTGATGCTAACACTTGGTGGCAAAATGGAAAAGTAATCAACTTTTAGTACTTCATCCTTCATTTGAAGAAGAAAATTAATAGTCATTGACCATTACAGTCCATCTATCCTTCTTGATTGTCACCATCGATAATGCAAAACCTGGTCACTCTTTCTACAAAATGTAATAGATAAATATTCTGCTCTCTGTCCCAAACCGTCAGTATTTAATACATATTTCACATTACAGTGTGATCTGTTCTACAAGCGATTTGTATTCTTTATCCACAACTCTGGCATACATTAACAGTAGCTTTAATTTTTGTGAGGAGGGATGAGCAAATTGTTTCTGCAATTTCCATATAACCCTCTTCTTATTAGTATTTCTCCTAATTGCTAATGTCAATTACACTTCTTGGACCTCTTAATGAGAATTTCCAGGTTTCCGGAATAGAATACAAAAATGTCTGGATTCCATGAAATGCAAGCTTACTGCTTTACCAAATACAAATACTTTATCCTTCCCCATGTCCAAACACATTTTCACTTTTTTTAAAGAATGATCAGTAACTATTGAAAGTTACTCTGGATGACGTTATCATTATGAAATGATGTAGTCCTGCAATTTCACAGAGAACCATGCTTTAAAGTTGGTAACAAATTATCATCCCCAAGTGGAAAGCAGGTGGAGTTTAAGTATTCTTTGATCCTATTTTTCTTTGCTTTGTCCAGGGTTTCCAAATAATGCTTTAGTCATACACTGTTGAGGTACACCACTATCTATTACAGCACAATTGAATGTATCAGCAAGGAAGAGGGCTCTTGCTGTTCTTCCTTTATCATATTCAACCCCTCAGCCATCTGTTTCTTGTTACTTCAAATACTTGACTCCTTATCCTTGAAGAATTCATGACTGTGATATTTCGAGTCACATTGGAAACCTGCATTAATTGTTCTATATGAATTTCGAGGATTTATATGTTGTCTGCTATCAAATCAATCCTGATTCTCCCTTGATTCAGAAATCTATCAAAGCTGCGAACCCCTGAAAGTCTCTTTCAGCAATTCTATCCTCATACACCTGCAACTCGGCCCCTTTCAACTTTGACAGTCAGTAATCATAGATCTTTTGTCTTCTGCACCACCGCAGAACTCCCAATGTTTTCTCTAAGGTACTTGGAAACAGTTGTCTTGCTAAAACATTTTTTAGCATGGCTGCCAATTGTTCGAAAAGGGAATCATTACCGTGAAATTGAACACCTGTCAAAATCAAATATCAGTATGTTTATGATTGATGCACAATCTAATATTTTAAGCACAGATTCCTGAATTTCTATGCTAAATTAGATTTATTTTATATAACCACTCAAATTCCATGATATATTCTTCTATTGACTGATTTCTTCATCTAATTAAATTGATCAAAAACAGAAGTTGCTGGAAAAGCTCAGCAGGTCTGGCAGCATCTGTGAAGAGAAATCAGAGTTAATGTTTTGGGTCCTTCCTCAGAGTTGCTTTTCCAGCAACTTCTGTTTTTGTTTCTGATTTACAGCATCCATAGTTCTTTCGGTTTTTATTAAATTGATCGATTACCTATGCCTTTTAGGGTTGCAACAATTCACCTTTTTTTCTCAACTCTGTGCATAAATTATGTTTAAATCTCCAATTCCTCCTCTGTATCAAAGTCTGTTGCACCAGTTCTGAAAATATTTTATTTCTTATTTTGCTCTGTTTTGGTAAGGATAAAGCCAATATCTTTTCTTGCTGCTTCTTAGTTAGAAAAGTGATGCAAGTCCACATCCCCACCATACTCCTCTTCTGCTCCAAAGTATGGCTTCGATTCCAAAAACACTGATGGATTATCATAACTTGTGATCCTGCAGCATGACTCAGCATTTCACTTTAAAAAGCCACTGAAAGATTTGCTTCTTCCACAAACATGAATTACCTTTTGCGTTCTTTAACTTCTCATATGGAGAGATTTATGTTAATCTTCTACCAACTTCTATTTCATACACTCTTAAATGTAAAGTTGCCATAGTCCTACTGGACCATAGCATGGCTCTCCCATTAGAGAGAGATGACTGGAGGTGGTTTAGCCTGGGTGTAACCATGCATCAGATGAAGGGAGAAGCTGAGGACAGTCCTTCGTGATAACCTCAGCTGATGTGGGAATTGAACCACTCTGTTGTCATTACTCTGCATTGCAAACCAATTGTCCACTCAACTGAGCTAACTGACTCAAAAACAGAAATTGCTGGAAAAACTCAGCAGGTTTGGCAGCAGCTGTGGAGAGAAAGCAGAGTTAACGTTTCGGGTCCAGTGAACCTTCTTCTGAGCTAACTTTTGAGCTAACTGACTCCCTTCATACATATCTAGGCAGCAAAAGACTTGTGTCAGTTTACAAAATGTTATTATAAATCCATAGTTTAGCACAAACATTAGTTTAAACCTTTCCCCTCTGGACCTTTACACAGAGCCAACACACCACCAAAGGAAAATCTCTGCTCTTTTTATAATTAACCATTGATACTTATAAGAAACCTCTGTGACAGAGATTTAAATCCAGACTTTCTGGCCCAGAATTAGGGGCATTACCACTGTGTGACAAAAGCCCCAAGAACTCGACTCATTTTTTTCATTTTAACAACATCTCACCAACTGAACAAAACACCCAATTACCAAATTACAAACAAAGCCTACATGGGGCAAGAACTTAACTCTTTTTATGTTTTTATAATCAACCTATTTAGTGATGTTATTACATACCTTTGGAACAGATGGAACTTGAACCTGGGCTTCCTGAAAACTTGGCTCCTATATATCAAATCCAGTGAGCATCACTAGTTATAAATCAACTTTGTTTGAACCTTAACGGGACCTGCATTTCTAACTCTAACTTGTGTCTTGTGGATGGTGTATAGGCGTTGGGTAGTCACCAGATGTGTTACTCATTGCGAGATTCCTAGCTTCTGACTTGCTGTTGTAGCCACAATATTTTTATAGCTAGTCCACTTTCTGGACAGTAGTAACCTCAATGATGTTGATAATAGATTATTCAGTGAAGGTAATGTTGATTCTCTCTTGTTGGAGATGGTCATTGCTGAACACTTTTGTGGCACAAATGTTACTTGCCACTTGTAGCCCAAGCCAGGATAGTATCCAGGTCTTGCTGCATTTGGACTTAGACTGCTTCAGTATCTGAGGAGTCGTGAATGGTGCTGAACATTGTACAATCATCAGTGGCCATCCCCATTTCTGACCTAACGATCAACATTTCCTTGTAATTTGTTTCCGGGTGCGCAGGCCTCTGAAATCTATACATGGCAGCAACTTCCAGATTTGGAAGCCAATGCCCTGTTCAGTGTGCTGATGCCGATCACCATGTTTGGAACATTAGAGCAGCTGTGCACCATAGAAGGAATGTTGCTTATGATGGAGGGTAGATTATTGAAGCTAAGATGGTTGAGCATAAGACATTATCCTGAGGAGGTCATGCAGTAATGCCCTAGAGCTGAGATGACTGACCTCCAACAACCACAATTATCTTCCTTATTGCCAGATATGATTCTGAACCTGGAGAGCTTTCTCGCATTCCCATTGACTCCAGGTTCACTTAGGGCTCCTTAATACCACATTCAGTCAAATGCAGGCCATCTTGCAATAGGGAATAGTTTCACAGAAATTGGGCACCACTTGTACCTTGATGTAGTAAGCATTATTCATGTGTGACCCTTAGTGGTCAGTGTGGTGGAGGAGAGAAGGAGAAGGAGATTCATATCTTGACCAAGTCCTGACTTTACATTGTAAAAACAGAAATGTGTTTTCAGCATCTGCATAGCAATCAGGACTGCAGCTTATGTGGAACTAAAGAACATTGAGAAGAAATTAGTTAGTGTGTAACTGTTCGTGAGAAACTGCAGCCCTGGATAAATTTGAAAAAAATATAAAGAAAATGGGTTTTTCTTTTAAAGACAGTGTTGTTGGTTTTAGTTACTGAAATGTGTCCTAATGACTTATAGCTGTCACTTCAAGTTTCAATAGCAATTGAGATTTTCTGAAAGCTAGAACTAATAGTCACATTATGTACAGTGTTTGGGGAAAAACGTTGAGGATTTTGATGTAGTTTGATCTTTCTCTCTAAAAATAATGTTTGCCAGTGTGTTCTACTTACTTTTAAGAAATATCAATGTATAATTTGCAAGGGCCACTGAGCAATGAGAAGTGGAGCCTACACTTTTGTTCAGCAAACTGGGCAGCACAGTGGTTAGCACCGCTGCCTCACAGCACTAGGGACTCTGGTTCGATTCCAGCCTCCAGCGACTGTATGGAGTTTGCACATTTTCTCCCTGTCTGCGTGACTTTCCTCC